ATTTCTGTCAGAATGCTGTGGTGCTATGGACTATGCATTCATGGGAAAGGGATGCTCGTTTGGTGAAGGAGGCCTTGAAGAAAGGCCCACAAACATACAGTGTGCTTGTGGAGATTGCATGTACTAGATCGGCTGAGGAGCTTTTAGGAGCTAGGAAGGCCTACCATTCCCTCTTTGATCACTCCATTGAGGAAGACGTTGCCTACCACATTGATGGCCCTGAAGGAAAGGTAAATCAGAGTCTTCCACATTCAATTTTTCATCTCATCAGTTTCAAAAACTGTTTTAATCTTTTGTAGTGTAATAAATGGCATGAAATGTGAAAGTATTTAACTGTTTTTTTTCTTTGGTTCTTCCTGTATGGCATTTGGTTTGTACAGCTCTTGGTTGCGCTTGTGAGTGCCTACAGGTATGAAGGACCAAAGGTTAAAGATGACACTGCAAAATCCGAGGCCAAAACACTTGCTCATGCCATTAAGAATGCAGATAAGAGGAACCCCATTGAAGATGATGAGGTCATTAGGATACTATCAACAAGGAGCAAGCCCCATCTCAAGGAAATATATAAACACTACCAGGAGATTTCTGGCCACAACATCGATGAGGTATGCATATGAGATACAACTTTGCATACTCCAATGTGATAATGTCACTTAGGTCGGAGAAAAAGAGAGTAATAATGCTAGAGAGACTACATTTTTGTACATGTTTGAATAACACATGATGTGGCAAGTAACACGGCATTTAAACCTCACTTGCTACGTCATGTGGTATTCAAATATGTGGTCTCCCTAGCATTTTTCGAGAAAAACAAAGGGTTGGATTATTGTCCAGAAATTTGAAACCAGAACTCCAATTCATATTATTGAGCTTATAGAAATCTATTATCTTGCTTTTTTGTTTAGGATCTTGATGATGCTTTGAGGTTAAAAGAGACAGTGCAATGCCTATGTACTCCTCACACATATTTCAGCCAGGTAAGGCAGAGTCACATAGATTTTTTCTGTTTCGCATGCAGCCAATATTAGGCATGACATTTTCAAATTCTTGTGTCTTATCAGGTCTTGGAAATTTCATTGAGAAATGGTGTGGATAAGAGCATCAAAAAGGGATTGACTAGGGTAATCGTCACCCGAGCCGACGCAGACATGAAGGAGATCAAAGAGGAATACCGGAACCGGTATGGAGTTTCTTTAACCGAGAAAATTGAAGCAACAGCTAATGGGAATTATAAGGATTTCTTACTCACTTTGGCTGCAAGAGGAGGCTAAAACTGGTTGGGAGTCAAAGTTTGGGGCTTGTTGGGATTATTTGAAGGGTTTCTGTGTTGCCCTCTTCAATTGTTGCTGTCTTTCATGGTTGCTTTCTTGCTAGAGCTAGTGTTGTTCTGTATGAGTATTGTGTTACCATTAAGAAAAACTGAAATAAAATCAATCAATGAGCCATTTGAGCATTAAATAAGCTGATTTTGTATGTTCAACATTTTGTTTGTGGCATAACAATGTTACATCTGGTCTCTAGTGTACAAAATGTTGTGGTCTGGACAAGCATATAGGCGTGCATATAACAAGTCTTGTTTAGTCAAATAAGTAGGTAATTGATTGGATAAACATCTCTTAAGTTCACATTCAAAATTTTCATGTTTTTCACCTAATTTCCATAATTTTTCTTGACTTTTTACCCGATCAATTTTTCATCGATATTCCCATCAAGATTTCCGTGTTTTGAAACCCCGATAGATATTTCCCGACCAATTTTTTAGCAAATCCCAAATGACCTATAAAAGAAAGAAAAGTAAGAATGGAAAAACACATACAAGGAATACGAGGAAGGAGGAGGTAAAGAATTGCAGAAGTGTTTAATGTAGTGTCGCAGAAACAGAAGTAAGTTGTCTATGGGACTGAAGCAAGGCTGAAGAGTAGAGTCTAAAGAGAGAGAAGCAAAGGGGCAGATAGAGAAATCCAATGGGAATTGGTTTAAAGAAAAAAAGACAAAGCTGGATATGTCTGCAATTTCTGCTGCCATTTCTATCTATCCAAATCTTAGTAATAAAGGAAACCTGAAATGTTTTTTTTCCCCGAGTGAAGAGAACCAGGGGCGGTCTTGAGGGTGTGCAAGTGTCACACATAGAGCCCCCGATTAAATGGCACTAAGGAGCATTGAACCCTTGCCAATCAAACAACTTTACCAGACAATACCACTAGACTAAGTATATATGTCTTCATGAATAGTTGTTCCTTACTTTTATTGGTTTATGGCATCTATTCACGATACTTTTTCTGTAGTATTTTTGTGTTAGATGATGTGAGGATCTCAATTTAAGTTTTGCGCAGGGTCCTCAAATTCTCAAAGCCGGCTCTAGAAAAGAAGTCCATACAACAAGAGATTTTAAAATTTTATTCTTTTTTCTGTTTCTTTTTCTCCATTGCTATCAAATTATCAATCCAAACACATTGCAAGACTAGCTATAAATATAACTTCTGCTTAATTCATCCATCAAATTTGAAAGTCTGACAGACAACTCTTTATAAAAACTAAAACTCCAACAAACATAGACGAAGACAGATAGCCAATCCAACATGGTAACTTAAGACACAAACATAAGAAAACAAAGACTGCCATCAAAGTCCAACATAAAACACAACCAACTGGATTATTATACTAATAACTTGCTCAGAGAACGGTTTCAAGCTTCCTGCCCTAGCAGGGTAACGAGGAATGCCTTGTAATCTCCTGAAGTTTCTTTGGCCACAGCATGCTCAAGATGAACACTGTTCTTCTTGTAGTAAAACTCCTTGATGTCCTTCAAGTCCCTCTCTGCCCTCGTAACGATCACGCGAGTGAGGGCATCCTCATCTGTCCCAGTCCTTTTGATTGCGTGGCGAAGTACCTTTACACACCAAATCACAGGGACTATTTGAGTCAGAAAGGGAATTGCTGGAAGAAAAGAAAAAAAAGAAAAAGAAAAGAGAATTGAGATCACATCCAGCTTTAATTTATACGTTTATCACCTTTTCAAAGTACTTCTTTGGGTCATTGAGGCATCGAATGACGACGTGAAGTGCCTTCTGGAAATCATCAGCACCAGCATCCAACAAATTCTAAGAGACAAAAGAACAAACATTAAGTCATAACACCACTCACTCTATTCAATGAAGCATGTTTGGAACTGTTTCTCTGGATGGGCTAAAAATGCTTTCTAACAACCAAAATGCACTTTCAATAGTGTTTCGCACAAAAACTTAACGTGCATATGGATCCTAAAAGCACTCACTTCTAAATGTTTTTTCCATAAAGCACTTGGATTTTTAATAAAAATTTCAACGTACTTATAACAGAAGTGCTTACCTTGCTGATGGAAATGCCATGGTCATCTCTGTAGCGGTTGAAGGTTGCCATGAGCTGCGTCTTGCTCCTTGTGCTGAGGATCCTAATAACTTCCTCATGATTGAAAGCCTTGTCTTTGATGGCATCATGAAGAATATCAGCTTCCGAATTTGCCAGTTTCGCATTGATCTCACTACCATCATACCGATAAGTAGTCACCAAAGCAACCAGAAGCTGTAACATTGACCATAAACCATATATCAACAACACCATTAGCAATTTTGTAAGTCTAACGATCCTCAAAGTTGGCCTAAATTCTCCAATTTGGGATGTTATATGTTTTCGACAGGTCAAGTCGATTCTCGTGTTATATTGACTCACAGTTTCACAACATAACGTGTCAGACTATTGGGCAAAAGAATGGTACCTTGCGGATATCACCGGTGGTATGTGCAGCCAAGTCTTCCTCCAAAGAGTGCTTGTAGCGAAGTTGGTAAGCCCTTCTTACTGCCAGGAGCTCTTCAGGAGATAGAGTGCTTGAAATTTCAACGATGACATTGTAGTCAGTCTCAGATTTCTTGATTGCCACATGAGCCAAGACTGCATAGCGATCTGTAGGATCCAATATCCAACGGTACATCGCTTTCTATACATGCCATCCCCAAATGAAATTATTTTTGTTAGTATCACATAAATAAGCTATAATTAACCAAAAATGTTTGAATTTTGTAGAAAACAAATATTAAACTCATATATAAGTACTAAACATTACGTGGTTAATCTTGGTTTTCAAAAAAAAAAAAAAAACCACGGCATGTAG